CGTTTGTCTTACTAACATTTTTCAATTTATTTTTTCATGTGGCTTTCAGCTCCAGAGATAACTGGAAGCAAATTAATAATGGCTGCAGCTCAACTTTTCCACCTTTGTTTGGCAGGAGATTAATTTTAATATTGATCATATTTCCAAATAATTAAACTCAATAACTTATTGTTAAGACTTTTATGCCTGGTTCAGTTAATAATATTCATCTTCAATGTTTCATTCTAGTCATGACTGTATAGTAGAGAAAATTATATTGTCATATATTGTTATAAGAATAAAATAGACTTCATTATATTATTCAGTTTACAGGAATTAATACTTTATTTTTCTCATAAAGTTCAAGACTCAATGTTTGTTGAAGCAGTAAGGTAATTATAATGCAAAAATATTGCTTTGAAAAGATAGTATTACAATAACTTCCAGTTAACATATTTTTATATTTATTTCACAGCAAGCAGTATATTTTCTTCTAGAGTTTGTAGTACACTATGAAGACATGTGGATTTCATTGACATAAAGAACCAATTTATGTGCATATTGAAAAATAAACAATTATATGAAGCAATTAAAAAGTAGAGAAGTCCATAGATATGGAAACCACTTAAAATGACCTGTATTCTTTTTTTCTATGTTTTATTAATTTTTATTTTTTAACTTTTATTAGTCACACTTTATTCCCTGTATATCCCCCCATAAGCCCCTCCTTTCTTCCCTCCTAATCTCACCTTCCCTCACCCTTCTTCACGCATGCCCCTCCCCAAGTACACTGATAGGGGAGGTTCTCCTCTCCTTCCTTCTGATCTTAGTCTATCAGAGCTCATCAGGAGTGGCTGCATTGTCATCTGGCCTGGTAAGGCTGCTCTGCCCTCAGGGGGAAGTGATCAAAGAGCAGGCCAATCAGATTATGTTAGAGGCAGTCCCTCTTCCCATTATTATGTAACCCACTTGGACACTAAACTGCCATGGGCTACATCTGTGCAGGGGTTCTAGGTTATCTCCATGCATAGTACTTGGTTGGAGTATCAGTCTCTGGGGAGACCCCTTGTTCAAATTTTTTGGTTCTGTTGTTCTCCTTGTGGAGTTCCTGTCCTCTCCAGATCTTACTATTTCCCACTTCTTTCATAAGATTCCATACCCTCTGCCCAAGAGTTGGCCATAAGTCTCAGTATCTGCTTTGATAGTGTGCAGGACAAAGCCTTTCAGAGGCCCTCTGTGGCAGGTTCCTAGTTTGTTTGTTTTTTTTTCCTGTTTTCTTCTCCTTCCTCTGATGTCTATCCTCTTTGTCTTTTGGGATGGGGATTGATCATTTTAGTCAGGGTCTTCCCTCTTGATTATCATACTGAGTGAGCTGTTCTAGAAGCAGAAAGACCTGTATTATTAAAAGGTGCTCATATTTTAATAACTAGATAAAAGTAAAACGTATTTAAAGTTGATATTTTGGAACCATCACTAAAATACATATATAAATTTTTAAGAAGTTAACTATCACATGAAAGAAGGGGGAGTTAGTATGACCTGGAGAGGACAGGAGCTCCACAAAGACCAAATGTATCTGGACACAGGAATCTTTTGTGAGACTGATTCTCCAACCAAGGACCATGCATGGATAAAACCTAGAACCCCTGCTCAGAACTAGCCCATGGCAGCTCAGTGTCCAAGTGGGTACCGTAGTAAGGAGAACAGGGACTATTTTTGACATGAACTCAATGGTGGGCTCTTTGACCTCCCCCTTCTCCACGAGGGAGGAACAGCCTTGCTAGGGCACAGAGGAGGACATGGCAGTCATTCCTGTAGAGACCTGATAAGCTAGGGTCAGATGGAAGGGGAAGAGGACCTCCCTTATCAATGGACTTGGAAAGGGGCAAGAAGGAGATGACGGAGGGAGGGCAGGAATGGGAGAGAATGATGGAGGGGGTTACAGCTGGGATACAAAGTTAATAAACTGTAACTAATATTAAAAAAATAATAATTTAATTAAAAAAAGACGTTAACGGAATTCTAAAGTTTTAGGGGACAATATTGAAAACATTATAAGCCACTGGCATAGTCTACTTTGAAATCTTCATTAAAAAAAAACTAACAGTATTATGAAAACAGAAACATGTTGAAGAAAGATTTGTTTTTTTCTTTTAATCTGTTCTTATATTATTTTGAAATTATAAGGTAATATTTTTAAAACTAGAAATCATTTATTTTTTGAAAAATACTCACTTATAAGTAGATATTAGCCATATAATATTGGATAAACATAATAAAATCTATAGTTCTAAAGAACCTAAACAACAAGAAGTACCCTAGGGAAGATGCTTAATCCTCATTCACAAGGGCAAACAGGATAGACATCAGAAGTAGAAGACAAGGGCCAGACAGTAGCCTTCCAGAGAGGCCTTCTGAAAGACTCTACCTACCAGGATATCAAAGGAGATACTGAGATCCATAACCCAATTTTGGGAGGAGTAAAGGAATTGTTATGGAAGAAGAGGGAGATAAAAAGACCTGGAGGGGACAGGAACTGTACAAGGAGACCAACAGAGACAAAATACCTAGGCCCAGGGCAGCCTGCAAAGGCTGATACTCCAACCAAGGACCATGCATGGAGAGGATCTAGACCCCTCTGTTCAAAGGAAGACCAAATACTACTAATTTTCCAAATGAGCTCCCTAGTACAGGGGGTGTCTCTGACATGAACTCAGTGGCTGGCTTTTTTTATCACCTCCCCCTGGGGGAGAAGCCTTGATAGGCCACAGAGAAAGATGTTGCAGCCAGCCTTGAAGATACCTGATAGGCTAGGGTCCAATAGAAAGGGAGGAGGTCCTCCCCTATCAGGGGACTAGGGGAGGGGCATAGGTTGAGAAGACTGAGGATGGGTAGGACTGGGACGAGATGTGGGAGGGGGCTACAGAGCGGATATAAAGTGAATACATTGTAATAAATTGATCAATTAATTAAATTAAATTTAAAAAACTGAATAAAAGAAAAATACTTTATTATGAAATGGACTTTATGTGACTTATTTTTTTAATAATTTTTATTTTTTATATTAATTACAGTTTATTTACTCTGTATCCCAGCCATAACCCCCTTCCTTAATCTCTCCCCATCCCACCCTCATCTTCTACCTGACCTTCTCCAAGTCCACTGATAGGGGAGGTCCTCCTCCCCTTCCATCTGACCCTAGCCTATCAGGTCTCATTAGGACTGCCTGTAATGTCCTCTTCTGTGGCCTGTCAAGGCTGCTCCTCCTCCGGGGGTTGGGCAGGTCAAAGAGCCAGCCACTGAGTTCATGTCAGAAATAATCCCTGTTCCTTTTACTAGGCAATCCACTTGGACACTGAGCTACCATGGGCTATTTAAGAAATGTCCATATTTGCTGTTCTTTATCACATGTGCCCCTTTTAATGAATTTTATTTTATTTGAGTATAGTAATTTTGGAACCTAACAGCAATATTTGGGTAATTATCTAATTCTAATATCTTTTGATTAAAATCAACAAAAATAAAATTAATTTAGTTCTACTTCGTTTTCTTTTGTTTGTTGCCCTGTTCTATCAGCTAAAGTACTAAATATTTACACATTCCAATTAATGTCTTGCCAATCTTCCACAGTTCTTACCATCTCAACTTTACCTAGATTATGTATCTCCCCCATTTTCCTAGTTTTCCTTTTTGTTAGTATTTTTACATTTTTCCCCAAGGCATATTTTTCAATCTTTTTAATATATTAGTTCATTTTTATTAGTGATTGTGTGTGTGTGTGTGTGTGTGTGTATGTGTGTGTGCATACCACATGTGTGCCTGTGCTCATGGAACCCAGAAGAAGGCATAGGGCCTAGAAGCTAGAGCTACTGACATTTATGAGCCATATGTAACACTGGGAACCTAACTCCTTTCATATTGAAGAACAGCCAGGAATTTTAGCCACTGGACCATCCCTCTATTCTTTCTTTAGGCAGGCCTTAATTGTGCCACTTTGCATATAAATGAGTTGCTATTGAGAGAGACACTTGGTTTTACTTCAATCATTTTAGAAGTAGAAGTGACACTAATCAGAACAAGAGTGAATATTAGAATTATAAATATTAACTATAAATTTCTCGACAGAGATCCTTCAAATCTTAAATGCAATACCTAATCAGAAATTTGTGCTTCCTGAGATCAAGATCAATGAAGAAGGAAATTACAAATATGGTAAGAATTCAAAAGTATATTCACATGAAAAAATCAAGAATTTTGCTACATTGGAACATTTATTATTACTCACCAATTCATTCAGGTTTAGTTATAAGCCCATAAATCAGTATAATTTGATATGAACATATTGATAATATCAATGATAGAAAACATTAAATATTTTCAAATGTGCATAATAAATTAATCTATGAAGTTAAAATGCTCAAGAAAATAATTATTTTACCCCATTTTAAGGAGAAAGCAGTTATTTTTAAAATTCACATGCAGAAAGAAAGGAGATACGAGGGAGAAATAGGTTTATACTAAATTTATTCCTATTGACACCTTCATTAAGTGACAATTCTACAATAACATGCCCTTGGTGGCTTTGCTTTCAAGTCACTGCTGCAGTTGTAAGGAAAGAAAATGAAAGAAAGCTTTTATGGCGTAAAAATCAAGAAAAACACGCACAACAATAATCAAATAAAAACTCATACTGGAAAATATTCCTGAAACTCTCTGTTCTGAGGTTTTCTATACCATCTTTGTTCAGTTTGATTCTATTCCTCTGTTTAGCTGTCCCAGTTAAATTTCACTCATCATCTCTCCTCTGAGTGGACATGGAAAGGGGCATGGGAAGAGATGAGGGAGGGAGGGTGGGGATGGGAGGGAATGAAGGAGGGAGCTACAGCTGGGATACAAAGTGAAGAAACTGTAATTAATATAAAAATAAAAATTTAATTAAAAATTTCACTCATTACAGCTTGAAAATACATTTTTGGGATAATAATTTATTAGTAATAGAAGACAAGATTGTTTGAATTATTAAGTGAATATAAGTAGTAAAAACTTTCTTATACAATTTGAGCTTGCTATAGCAAAAAAGTCTAACCTGTTCCAATGTTCTCTTCTTCATGAGACAAGCCGTTATATAGGCTCAAACAATATTTAAAATATTTAAGAAAAGAAGAACTTGCTAGTAATGAATGAAACTGGTTGTAGAGGCTCCAAAAACATTTAAGAAAAAATGAATTGTCTAGTCAAGAATGGAATTGATTGTATAATGTGGAAGATGGTCATTTTTCTTGGAAAGATTTTTTTCTGGTTCATCTTTGGAACTCTGATTTTGCCCATGGTGGCAAAAGGTTTCCTGTCCCAATTCCAGGCTAACCTGTGTTGGATCTAGGTGCCACCTAGTTAGAGTTCACCTTTTTTTAAAAAATAGCATTAGTCCCATATGTTTCTCACTAAACTCAGTCCTAGAGAACTAAGGATTCAGCATACTGCATAAAAATTTTGAGTGGACATCTTTTAGTGCTTAAACATTCCCCATTAGACTTGTGATATCTAGTCCAGGACTTTTACCTTTTGTCTTGTTAATAGTAATTTTTCAGTTTTGAGTGCATTTACTATTTGTTATTCCTTGTTATTCAGAAAGTCAAAGCAAAGTATTCATTTTGTCTTCATCTTCCTCAATAAGCTCCCTAAGCCCCATCTTGTGAGACTGATGGTGACAAAAAAAAAAAAAAAAAAAAAACATATCACAGCTAAAAAAAAAAACAAAAATAAAACAAAAAAAAATCTTTTCTTATAGATAACTATGTTTAACCTAGACTTATAGGAAAAGAAAATTTTTATTAATATAAATAAGACTGATATTGAAATAGAGCTATGTTACTCTTATTTACATATTATATATGTAAATTAAGATGTTTTAATAATAAAGGTAATTCATGTAGATAATAAAATATTTGGCACTATATAATTAAATCACCGTAAATTAGCAGTGTGAGTAGTATGCAAATGAATAGTAAATGAAAAATCTTTATTTTTTTATATCAGCAGTTAACAACATAATTGCTTCTAACTAAAGTTTTCATCATATTTGAGAGAACATGTATTTCTGTCTGCATTTCTTTGCTTGTTTTTGGATAAAGTACCCTTAGAAAAGGAAATTTAGGGCCAACAAAATATCTCCATTTGTAAAGATGTCTGCTGCTAAATCTGAAATCTTGAGACAAGAAAAAAATAATATTATCATAATCAATCATTTATATATTATTATGTATTTGTAGACTATTGACTGATATAGAAACGGACGGACATTGCTCTTAGGTAATAAGATGACACAGAAAAAGTATTTGTTTTAGTACTGTATTATAAAGTGGTTATATGAAACTTTTACAACCCTGGTAGGAATTATTTAAATACCGTGGCTAGACTGAGTACCAACTGTTTAGAGGCGCACAGTGGATATTAAACAAAATGAATTTCACACTCATACTGAAATCATTTCAAATCTTTATGTGAAAAAATGCATAAATTTCAAGATGCATTGGAATTAATGTTACCCTGTGAGGACACCAAATAATTGGTCTTGAATTTACTAAAATGTTGTTAAGCCTTATACACTTATATATGAGGGTCTATCTCAATTTTTCTCTCTCTCATATGTGTGTGTAAAAAGTTTGGCAGTTACAAGCAGATAATAATATTAAAAATGAATTCTGGAGATCTTGAATATTTTAGTGGTCATAGTAAGAGCTTGAACTAACATAGACAGTGACAAGGCTAACAGTACATAGAATTATCTCATCTCTGCTTTGATCAATGTAGTTTCAGAATTAAATGCAAAGGAATAAATAAGCAAAATGTACTAGCAGGCATAGATTTTTTTCAGGTATAGGGAAAGTTTTAGATGAGAATTAAGAAACAATTATCTTTAAATGTGTACTGCTATTTAATAGAATAAGGTGCATTCAGTAACTTGCCTAAGGTATTTTGTGAAGCAGATTATAATGGCTCTGATATCCTGGTAAACAAATGACTTTTTTTAGGCTAGATGACTAAATATTTTCTCCAATAATTTATTTATTTATTCACTTTACATCCTGATTGCAGCCCCCTTCTCCCAGTCCCTCCCCTCCCTCCAAGCAGACCCCTCCCTCCATTCTCCACTCTCTTTACTTCAGAAAAGGCTCTGCTGAACTAGATGCACAGTCCTCCACAGAGGTAGTTCAGTTAGGGGAGCTGGACCCAAAGGCAGGCATCAGAGTCAGAGAGGGCCCCCGGCTCTCTCAGTTGTTGGGGACCCAAATGAAAACCAAGCTGTGCATGTGTTACATATGTTCAAAGGGCCTAGTGCCCATCCATGCATGCTCTTTGGTTGGTGGTTCAGTCTCTGTGAGCCCCCACGGATCCAGGTTAGTTGGCTCTGCGGGTCTTCTTGTGGAGTTCTTCACCCCTCTGGCTCCCTCAATCATTCCGCAAATCTTCAGTAGGAGTCTCTGAGTTCTGTCTAGTGTTTGGTAGTGGGTCTCTGCATCTGTTTTCATCAGCTGCAGGGTGAAGCATCTAAGAGGAGTTACACTAGACTCCTATCTAGATGCGTGATGCGCAGCAGAGTAACGTTAATAGTGTTAGGGACTGGTTCTCTCCCATGGGATGGGTCTCAAGTAGGAACAGTCTTTGGTTGGCCCGTCCGTCTATCTATGCTCCCTGCACGTCTTGTAGACAGGATAGATTTTGGATGGAAGATTTTATGTGTAGGTTGTTGTCCTTATCCGTGCACTGGAAGTTTTGCCTGGCTACTGGACCTGGGCACTTTAAGGCTTCATATCACCCAGTGCCAGGAATCTCAGCTAGAGTAGCTGAAACACTTCCTAGAGCCTCCCTCTACCCCAGGTCTCTGGCATAACTCTAAATGCCAACCAACCTCTGATTTCTTTCACCTGTTCCTGTATCCTTCACTGTCTCTACCCATCCTAACCTCTGGGACACCCCCCCCCAACTTTTGTTAGAAAAACTTACATAGCACAAAACAGAGAAAAAAAACCACATTAAAAAAAATGCAATTTGCTCGTTAAGTATTAATTCAGCCACAACAGAGTTCAGTTTCACAGAGAAGTATCATGCATCTTCAAAATTTTCCTCTGAAAAAGCAATTTACTTCTATCTCCCACTCTGCAGGGTGGCCCCAGAGACGGTAGCTGATGAACAAGTAGTATGTCAGCGCGAATTAATTAATTAAAAAGGGAAGAGAACAGCTTCTAATGCACACATCTGTTCAAAGCCCATTGAGAATTAGCTAATATGAGAAAACATCAACAAGCCACCTGAGCATTCACATCTTGAGAGTTATTAGAAAAGGAAATATTGAAAAAAAATGCCCTTTATGTATCCACATTGTTTTGGTATCTGAAAGAATTTACACAGGTTAAACAACATTATGACTGAATGGCTGGCACAGCCTGACTTGAACGTGTATTCTGGCTGGTAGGTACACATCCACCACTAGGATTCGGATCACAGCTAGCTGGTCAGAAGAACACGCGCTTTATTCTTCCCAGAGAGATATAAGTCTGGAACCCAGTGAAGGATTTGGGATGGAAAACATGTCAGTGAAACACACTTCCAGTGATGTCTTTATCTCTTCCCATGACCTTTATGTTTATGTCTGGACCTTAATAGCCCTGTTTCTCCCCTCTTTCTATAGTAGATTTTCATTTTAGTTTTTTTTTTTTTTTTTTTTTTTTTTTTTTATA